TGCGCACCCACTTCTTAAAATTTGGGCCCACTCCCATCTTTTCCATGCTCGCATTGAGAAAGGCCCAGTTGACATGGTCATAGGCCTTTTCAAAATCGAAAAAGAGAGTTGTTGTGTTTATTGTTTTTTCTCTGACTTTGTTGACGGCTTCGCTGAGAGTCATTACGTTATCCAGGATGTACATCCCAAGGATGAAGCCTGTTTGATATATATGAAAGCACTTGTCAGTCGGGTCTAGGATCCGAAAGGCAAGAGCTTTGGCAAGGATCTTATAAGGAAGTGTCATAAGTGAGATGGGTCTATAGTTCATGATATCTTTTCTCTCTCCTTTCTGTACAACAAAGTGACCACGCTGCTACTCAATAGGTTTCCCAGTCCCCCTTTGAGCCAGCTGTCGTTGTCGAAGTTTAGCAAATCTCCTTCTAGGAGCAGCCAAAACATTTCCCAGAATTCTTTTGTCAGCCCGTCGATTCTTGAAGACTTACTGTTGTTCATATTTTGGACAACAAATTGCAGTTCTTCTAGAGTGATGGGCTTGTCTAGATCTTCTGCTTGCTCTTGAGAGATTGTTTGTTCTAGGTATTGAAGCATTCTAGTCCGTGCCTCTCTGGTGTTGGGCGGAGTAGGCATAGGGGTCTTCGTTTGGTAGAGCTCTTCGTAGAATTCCTTTGCTACGTTCAACATTCCTGCGCTGTCTAACACTGTTTCATTTGGATTGGAGAGGGTTTTCAAGCCTTCTATCGCATTGGCCCTTGAGTTTGCTTTGATTCTTGCGAAGAAGTGTTTTGACATTGACTCACTTAGCTCATATTCGTTCATTCTGGCTCTTATTTGTAGTCTCTTTAGTTCCCACCATCTCCACATAGTGAGTTCTTCTCTTGCCTTTTCAAAGATGTCTCTATAGAGTGTCGAAGAGGGGTTATCGATCAGATTTGTCTCTGCGATCTTTAGGGTTGTCTCCAATGCTTGCTTCCTCTGTTTCCTGCCAGCCGCTAATTTCCTTGAGATTTTAGCTACCGTCTGTAATAATGTGGAGTAGCTTTCCTTAAACCATTCCCATCGATCCTGTATGGGTAGGTAGGTGCCCTTTAAATTCTGCCAATAATCCTGAACTCCTAATTGAAAATTTTGGCGCAGTAGGAGGGAGTTATTGAGTTTGTGAAAGTTGGACCCCTTTCTGACATACTGTTCGAAGCTGATTATTACTTCGATGGGTTTATGATCTAGACCCGGGTACGGTGCGAGAGCCGGGATCTCGGCGCTTTTGGCTGTCCCCATTAGTGTTTCTGAAACCAAGAAATAGTCGATGAAGGAGAAAGGGGTATGGTGGGCATGGTTCTTTTTAACCAATGTGAAAGCTCTTGTCCCCGAATGCGAAGTCCGGTATGGTTCAACTAGATTGTAGTCCATCATCAACTTTTGGATGGGCACCGCCTCCTGAGTAGGCTGACCAGCCGAGGACCTAGATATACGATCTGTGGTGGGATCTATAGTTGCGTTCCAATCACCGGCCAAAATATAGGACGATAAAGGGGGGATTGCGGAGGCTAGTTAAGTAAACTGTGGTAGGAAGTGTTTGGTAGATAACGGTTATGAGTTGAAGAGCCTATCCTTAGAAGGTGCCACAAACTTCAACCAAGATCACAAGAGTCGTTAGGCCAGCTCTCAATCAATCCACCCAAGCAGCTCAAGAGAGTTCGTAAGCTTTAGAAAGCAGCAAACAAAGGCAGGGGGACCAACTCATAACCAGCAGAAGATGTCTGGAATGCATATCAGCAAGTATAAAACTCCAGCAACACCTAGACATTGACACCATATGCTTCACACTCAATACAGTTGCGCTGCTGCGGTTCTGTGTGTCAAAGAGAGAGAGAGAGAGAGAGAGAGAGAGAGAGAGAGAGAGAGAGAGAGAGAGAGAGAGGGGGGGGGGGGGGGGGGGGGGGGGGGGGGGGGGGGGGGGGGGGGGGGGGGGGGGGGGGGGAGGAGAGCAGTGATCAGAGTGTATGGCGTCGGGCGCCATTGCTGTAGTATGCCAGAGAAAGAGCTTCAGTGGAGGATATTCAGAGAGTGATCAAAGTGACCTGTGAGGTCAGAGAGATAGGAGAAGTGAGATAGCACAAAGAGAGAGCAGTGAGAGAGAGACGTGCATGCTGAGTTGAGCGGCCATAGCCGCTGGTGACGAAGAAGATGACCAAGTTTGTGTCGAGTTCACTGTGCGACTCAGCGACGGGCCAATAAGTCTTGAGAAGGGAACAAGTCCCTCACCACAAGCCACGTCGTCCTGATTGCGACGTTAAAGAATTCCTAAGGACCTTGTCGGTGCGAATAAGGACCTTGTCGGTGCGAATACCCTTACAAGGGTATCCGCCCCGTTTTTTTGCAAGTGGCAGAAAACAAGGTTGATTTAAAGTTTAAGTTTACCGCGTGAGGCGCGGTTGGGTCTATGGTTTGCTTTGACTGGACGGTTGAAAAGAGTAGAGAGTGTGTGGGCGCGCAGACTTAAGGCGCGCGTGATCTCTTTTGCTGTTGATGATTGTGGAAACCGACGCTGATTGCCGGCCAGATTATTATTTTTGATTAAACTCGGATTCAAAAGATAATGTCTCTTGATTGGCGCGCTTGATTGTGACCTGTGCGTACGTGCGGAGGACGGCATCGACAACAATGTGATTTTGGAAACGTTCAGTAGACCTGCGCATCGCGCAGTATCAGTTTATTTAGGTGTCCGTCAAAACTAGACCCGGACTTGGGCCTAGCGCCATTGGTTACAGTATCAGACTTCTAATCAAAGGATTTAGGGATCGAGATCGAGCAGCGATGACACGGGGATATCAGAGTAACGTGAAGGGACCGAGGGGTTGAGGGCCCGGCGGGGCTATCCCCCTTGGTTGTGCCGTCGGCAGCGTGGGAATGGTGCTAGCGGTTTTTTTTTCCTCGATTCGTCATATTCTGACGATAAAAATTTTGTAAATATTTTATTATTCATTGTCGTATTATCATTATTGTCTTATGCACTAACATTTTTTTGACTTGGACGCGGCGCTGGATTTAGAGATCGTCACGGCGGTCGAGGACCTTGAGCGCACGCCTCTTTGGGTTGACCTACGGGTTCTTGTACGTTCGGGATATTTGGGCAGGGGAAATTAACGTGCATACGAGTTGGGGGATGATTAGCCCATGAGGCGGAAGGGACCTGAATGGCAGGCCTTCTACGCCACTACCACCGGCACCAGCACCAGGCCCGGGCCGCCTAAGCCCACGCCTGGGCTTTACAACAAGTTGCGCCCTCGGCTCCGCATCGGGGTTGTCCCTGGGGGAGCTTGCCTATATGGAACTCGGGGCGGTGGTGGCCTTGCTAGAATGAGGCAGGCAAGAGGAGGCTGTAGCATGTTGGCAGTGATACCAGCTAGAAACACTTCTTGTCGGACAGGGTAGAGGGACGAAAGACTAATCGAGCCCATTTGCTAACCGGCCACTTTCAGAATATCGGCAACGATAGATCTGTTCGAACTGCGCTGAGCGTTGCGAAACCGCTTCGGCCGGTTGCTGCTTCAGTAGCAAGAGAGACGAGACGGAAGAGGTAAGCAGAAGGGGAAATGAATCAGGACGCATTCTCTGCGCCAGGTCCATTCGAGGGAGCGAGTTATGGAGAGCAATAGCGGAGTGAAGAGCCTGGGCGCGGCGAGGAGGGGGTAGCACACGCGATATGTTACAGAGTCAGTCGAATAGGAAATGGAGGTAGGAGTTTTAGACTAGGGCGACCTCGATTCTGCGGTTAGTTTGGGATGGAAGTTAGTAGAAATGGAGGTAGGAGAGAAAAACAGGGCGCAAAGATATGAAGGGAAGAAGGAGAAGGAGGAAAACCGTCATATCTCGCTCAATCTTGAGCGGATTTGAAGGAGGGAAGAGCATATATAGGGGTTCTTATGTCGGGCGAACACAAATTCGAGGTTAGTTTTAACAAAGAATTACTGGGTTAGGATTTAGTGAGAAAAATAGTGCGCGGACGTATGAAAAACAGGCTATGGACGGAAGGAGGAAAGTGCTACCTCACTCGATTCCTAATGGAATCAAGCGAAGTAGAGTACTTAATGGGGGTTTTGGGGAACTGCGAGTTGGGTGGCGGTGCCATATTTGACAATAAACGAGTGGCCTAGCTGGAATAGGTGCATGGGACTTCGTGTGGGAAGAAGAGGTAAGTGTGATAATGTATCTTTCCGTGATCTGGGAAAGATTCGTTCTCCTTCTCTGTGCAAATCTGCGGGCTCATTGCTCACCATCCCAAACTCAGTAGAGATAGTGCTCACAGTGAAGATCGTCATCCCTTTGGTTGCCACCACTTCCATCTCGGTGATCAGGCCGCTGATCGTTGAAGACGACGTGTCGATTTCTACGCTCGTTCCGACCTCCGTTCCGATCGCGGCCTTCGCCAAGTGGACATTGCTCTCCCTTTCATGGTCGTCCCTCTGTAGACTACGGTGTTGATCGTCCCACCGACTGCGCTTGTCAACAAGTTGTTTCCTGGTTAGAGGTTGTTGTTCTCTTCGAGAGCACGTGACCCTTCTCAAAACTTTGCGCACCAGCGTATGGAGTAATGCTCGCTTTTGCTTCGGATTGGGTGATCAATCTGCTGCGGTAAAAGTCCAATGTTGCCTGTCGGGCGGGCTGATGCTGCAGGGTCGGAGGGCTTACTGTTTGGCGGATCAATGAACCTAGCTTCGCTCTAGGGGAAGATTCATCCCGATTTTGACCCGTATTTGAGAGGCAGCAGGAGACCAACGATGAGATCGGAGACTTACCCGTTGGCCGAGGCGATGCTCATCCTCTCTTTCCATCCTTCCTCTTCCCTCAACGGGTTCCAGACACACTCTATCCATAGGTACGATAGCTCCGGCACAATTTCATACCCCCGCCAATCACATGTGGTCCCCTTCCATTCGTTGCTCGGCGGTATTGACATCTCTATTCCCCTTCCGACTCGTCTTGGTTCCCATGTGCAGCCCCATAATTCGAGTTCCCGGGCCATCACTCTCTACCTGCACATAGTCGACAACCCGTTTCCCCCAGGTAAGCCCCCCCCCTTCAGAAGTCCCAGTCCTCTATCTTGTCCCCGTCCTCCTCATCACTGAAATCCTCCTCCTCGCCTAAGAACATCTTTTTCACCCCTTCCAAGAAGGTTTCCCCTGTTGCCACATTTCGATAAACTATCTGCCAATACACCGGACTAGGAACAAAGACTTCGTCCGCGCTGAGGAGGTTTAACATCTCAGCTAATTCTTCCGCCCAGTTTCCCTTAAACGGCCCTGCTTCCACCGACAGCGTAAAGAAATCCTGTCTAGCACATTGGTACAGCCTAAGGCGTGTCATCGATTGGCATATTCGTTCCAGTCTATCCCTGGTCCCAAAGACTGCATCCACCAGAAACGGGGGTAGCACGCACCTCATTGCCCTGAGGGGACGTCTCATATTTTTCCGGTCCCCGAGTTCCACTCGCACCTCCATCCTTTCCATCTCCATTTCTGCTCGCTGACATGCTGCCCATACCACTTCTCGTTCCGCTTGCCTAAACAACTGATCTGGTGCCGTGCCCAATACTAGTCCCACTACCATTGCATTTTCCAATTCTTGTGACAGGTAGAACCACCCTCGAGCGTCCACTGTTCCTCGGAATTCTAGGTCCATCAAGCTAGGTGAGAGTCTCGTCAAGCTGACCTTAGTCCAGATTGTCTCTATCCAGAGGAACGCGCCCTTCTCGTCCAGCATCACGGTTTCATAGGCTGGTTCTAGGTCGGTCCACGTCCCTTCTTCCGGGAGAACCACAGATACCCCATCCCTTACCTCTAGAGTAGACAGGAGGCGACAACCATCGCGCCATCTTGTTTCCCGGCGCTTGTCCTGTTTTCCACATGAGAGCACCACACGGCCCCTCATGGTCAGATGGTTTGCTTTTCCTTTTCTAGATGAGAGTTGTTTTCAGACCCCTCATCCGGGTCTCCCTAACTTTTCCTATCCATTTTCCAGGCGCCATTGCCCTACCATACCCCCAATCGATCATCAGCCGCTCGCATTCCTTTTTCTTGGTTCCACTTTCTTTCGACTCCTAACCAGCCTCTTCCTCATGTTCTCTCAATCGTGCAGACTTAGGCAGGGGTCGAGAATAGACTAGAAACTCGGTCCCCATCCAACATTCATCAGGCAACTTTACAGAGGGAGGTACAAAAGAAAAACCAAGCAGTCATCGCACACAGGCCGATCATGTCCTCACCGGCCTTTTCCCCAAAGTGGTCTCTCCACTGTTACTATTGGCAGGGTTTTGTCCCATACCTCAAGCACAACTCAACCGTCGCGAGCGCGGTACCTAGGTCTTGACAAGGCATTCGCCCTTTCCTCCTTACCCAGAATACCCCATCCCGACTTGCCGCTCGTGTACCCACCGTAAATCTCGGGAATCACCCCGCACATCTCGGTAGGCCATTGGAGCCATCCGTCCAGGCACTCACATCCATCGGTCTGATAAGGAACAACCTTTCCCAAACCAGGCTACGAGAAGCTACTGATCGCCTCCCAGGCTCCGTCTTTGCCCCCATGTCGTGGTACTCCCTCCGCCAGTCCACAGGCTAGGCCCCGCCTGAGGAATGTTTCACGCCCTGCCCGGCAGATCAATCGAGCCGAAGCCCGTCACCGCGAGGACGAGAACGCTAATAAGCACTCGACGTGACAAACTCCCGTTAGATAGCTCGGTGGTCTGACCCCCGCACACGAACAAACTGCAGTCTGCAAAGAGAACGATGTTTGGCAACCCGCAGTGGCCGGGCAGACGCCCCCTTTCCTTCCAAATGGCAGGATGCTCGAAATCCCAGTCATGCAATCACAAGTCCCAAGTGGGACACACATAATCACAAGTGCCTTTCCCCTGGTGCACCCAACGCTCCTACCCATAGCTCACAATTTTTCTCTCGGGACAGTGTGTGCCACTCACCCCTAACTTCCATACATAGTGCCCGGTTCCTTCTCGTGAGCATCTTCAAAGGTGAGCTAGTTTTCCTCGGAGTCTAGCAACTCCCTTCATTCCCTTATCTTCGCTTGCGTGTCCGTTCATAGGGCAGGATTGTTCCTTCTCGATTACCTTTTGTGTTCATATGAGGTTCCTTCAAGCATTAAGTGTGGTGCATAGAGCCCGATGGGCTCCGAAGAGGAGAAGAGAAGGCACCCAGGTCGGTCGGATCACTCCGGCGCGGGATTTTCATCGGAACCCGGACTAGCTCGGAATCCCGATCGCCTGCCAGGTAACCGGAGCCCTTCTTTTGCACGAAGAGGAAGGGTCGACCTTCGGCTTGCCCAAGGCTTCCCCAGCCTGACGAACATCAGTCCAAGGGAAGGAGGACTAGAGTCATCTCCAAAGGAGACGACTGATTAAAAGTGCAAGCATGCATGTTCTTCCTCCAGGCCTGGCCTTGCCATGCGCCCAACCACCCTCAAATCTGATTCGCTCAAAGGGATAGAGCACACACAAGTCCTCATTCCTTCTCTTCATGTTTACGTTCGTGGTCATGCGTCGGGCGCCCCCCTCGAGACAGTATGGGTCAGTTTAACCCAATACCCGGCCCCTCCACCATTTTTGTAGGGGCCGTACCCTGTAGGACTTTCAAGCCTCGGTCGACCCCACTGCGGGTCCCATTTGGCTCAACCCGCCCACGCTCACGCCCAGGGCGCGGGTCGTTCGTCCCAGGGGCACCCCCACCTAGTGGTATGAAATGGATGGGGATGGGCCTTTTTGCGAGAGGGCTTTATATTGGGGGATGTAGCTCCGCTCTCGCGTGAAGATGGTAGCTCTTTGGGCACTCGTGGCGTTTTCTCGATTCGGTTAAGTCTGACCAGGCAAATGCTCCTTCCAATACACAAACAGTCCAGGGAGTTCATTGAAGTCTCTTCTTATCGTGCGCAGGCCAAGCGTCATCCATTGGGCCACGCACCTTTTCACTAAGCCTAGCGGCTCTGGGCAGCCCCGGCGGCATCCTTGGGGTAAGGCAGCGTCGCCCGGACCCCTAGCCGCTATATTTTTTGCGAGAGCCACTAGCATCGGATCACCTATCCAAGACCGCCCTTAGTCTTTTCAGGGGTCGCATTGCACAAGAGAGACATTCCATGCAACCTCCACACAAGCCAAGTCTGTGCATCAACCATCCACCCAAGCGCCCGGCCTCAACTCATCCCGCATCCATGGCTTAAGCCGGATCCAAGTCCTTCCTTAGCCAATCTCCCACCCTAGTCCTCTTCCGCGGGTC